GCAGAATTTTGCATTCGGAGAATGTTAACTTTGGAGCATTGTCAGTGGAAAATTGCAAAGTTTTAAACTTTTAAGTTAAAAAAAGAAGAAACTGTTTTTTTAATCTTTTTTTTTACGGAGTGCTTACTGAAATTACTGGAATTGAACGTTTTTGAAGGACAATATTTAGAATTACCACACTGAAGATAAACATGACTGCAAATGCAACACAGAGGTGATCTTTTAAGAGGCGAAGTCAACTTAAGGAGGTATATATCAGTTCACGGGTGAGGTTTCAGGGGTGTGGGGGTAGAGTCGGGGGTGGGGCCATGAGAAGGGGATAAGTGTGTGCTTTAGAAGATGAAGCAGATGGATTAGTGTTATCTGAGCTCCTTACTTCCTTTCCTCATCTCTCTTTTCCAGGTAGAGTGGCTGGAAGGCTGAATGGACTGAAGAAGTGGGCGACAGAGGTTCAGAAGTGGGGAGGAGGGTTTGGGGGGAAATCGGTTACAGGACGAGAATCAAAGCCACAGGAGGAAGAGGAGAGGGGGGAAAGCAGTGAAATAATCCAGTGGTGAGTGTCTCAGGAGAGTGCCGGTGGTGAAGGGGAGCGGAGTTGGATACCCAGCATGCAGGCAGCATGGAAAGGGTGAGGGAGCAGCGGCCTTTCTGCTCGCTGTCCAAGAGCCAGAGAGACCGAGAGAGACACTGTGAGAGAGACAAGGATCGAGAGCGCCGTTACACCGCCTCCTCATCAGACCGGGACGAGGGAGCCTGCCGCGTGCCCACTCAGAAATCCTACAGCTCCAGTGAGACGCTCCAGGCCTTTGACCATGACCCTTCACGAATGCTCTTTGGAGGAAGAGTCAAGGAGATGGTCCACAAGGAAACCGCAGAGTACACAAGGCCAGGTTAGCAAGAACAAATGTTGTCCTTCTGTGGGATTTTTCAGGATTTGTTAGATGAATGTACAAAATGTAAGCTCAGAGAGGTGCGGATTGCCTGTCATTTTTTAACGTCATGGCCAGCGTCATCAGAGTTTATCATTTAAAAGGCACCGGGTACAAAAAAATGTCTTCCTTCTTATAGTGGCATTTTTCTAAATCGAACAAGAAGCTCTTAGATTTAGACCACAAAGAACAAAATCCTTATATCCATGTTCATTTGCTGATGTTTAACTGTGTGAAACCTCATTAGTAAATGAATGCTCATGCAAGGATTTTGTTGCTTGTTTGTTTAATAAATGTTATCCCACAGTTTTATCTCCCACTTTATCTCTGCAAGCTTGACAAGAAATAACAATATGGCGCCAGTATGCTAGACACTGGTAAACACAATTAAAGGATGTCAAACAAAAGCATAAATTAGATTTATATTTCTAAACTTTTACAGAGAATTCCTATTGAGTGTGATGTAGTGGGCTACTCTGACCTCATAAAACGCTCATGCCCTGCAGGACTATGTTAAAATAATAAGATAAAATGTACAATAAGTAACCCTCTTCTTTAATTGGCTGTTAGAAACTGCTGTAATTTCTGTAATTAAAAACTTTGGGCAGTTTATTCTATTTTATGGCACTCCTTTGGCTCGTAAGATTGCAATCACAAAAACTATCCATTACACTTTTACATTTTCATGGTGCTAATTGGTGTCCATGTTAGAATAAATGGATCTATGATGAAGTTGTGGGAAGAAGAGTAGTTTCCTTTATTTCTTTTTCAAATCCAGGCATTTAGCCTTAACGAGTGTTTCTTACATCATCACAGTAAAAGTCAGATTTAATGTCGATGATGGAAAAAGAGCATGTTCTTGTTAATTAGTTGCTTTATTTGCTCTTTGTGTGTTGTGCGTGTGATAGCATTAGAATCCTGGTACATTTTAAAATGGCTTATATGACAAAAAACAAGCTGTGTGAATTTCACTAAAATTTTAAAAACTGCTGAAAATGTCTTATTTTGAAATGGTAAAATATACTGGAGATAAAATACATTATAGCTATGATGATTTCTACATTAAATATTAATAATTAGCTATAGCAGTTTCTGGATGAACACATATATATTTGAGCCTGACTACAAGCATCTACTAAGCAAATACAGCTCATTTCATGGTTAAAATCAAATAAGCAATGAATGAAACTGAAATATGAACTTTTTAATTTAAGGACTTTGAGGTGAACTAAGATGTTTTTGTGCTTTTTTGGCAGTATGCCTGCATCATTTAAAAACAATTGAAAACATGCTGCAGACTCTTTTAAAGGCAGGTTAATTTTTTATTTTCAGAAATAAGCAAACCCTTAAGCCATGTGAAATGGAGACAAAACTAATTTAGAGCATTGCTGTGATTTATTGTTAAACAGTCTCTTAAACAGTTTCTAAAAACACTATCATAATAATTAGGTGATTAGCATCTTTACTTATTTTTTTTTATCTGTAATTTAATCCAAGGATATTGATTTCAGACTATTTGTCTAATGGAACGTGGTAATCTTAAACATAGCAATTATTATAATTTTAATTAGACTATTTGTGTGATTTGAGTCAAAGAAATGCAGTTGGAGATCTTGATAAGTTGATGAGTGTTAAGTAGCTTTGGAGGAACTTGTTAAGGCTTTAATTTAGCAATTACCCCCTGCCTTGTCGCCATGCTCTTAGATTAACAGTTTTTGTTGTTGTTTTTTTTCTCTTTAAATAGCCCTGTTCATAGCTATTAAGTACAGTGTTGCTTGGTTTGTTAACTTTACTACTTCTGTCATTGACAGGGCAGACATTTTCGCTAAGGCAACTCGGGATTTGTGAGCCACCGGCTCGCAGAGGCTTGGCTCTCTGCCCCGAGACTGGCCTCTCCCACCCACTCAGCAGCTATTCCAGAGGACCCGTCGCTACTGAAAACCATGAACCTGTATCACCAGAACGTACCATTACTCTTTGGGGGACAGGGGCAAAATCGGGGCAGAATTCATGCCTTTCCAGCCGCTCTAACTCGGCGCTCACACTCACTGACACCGAAATGGACAATAAATCGGACAATGAGATGGGTGAGTGAGGCACACGTTTCATTATTTCACCTTAAAATGCTTATTTGTTTGTAGCCTTTACCCTCATTGCTTTTCAAAGGGGGAGAAATCACTCTGTATAAGGAGCAGCAGTAGGTTGGATTATGGTGGGTGCTGGAGAGAAGGCTCTGATTGGTGGAACAACGTGAAAACGCGATTGGTGGGGCTGGTATCTTGAGAGGCATTTGCAGCTGTCTTTGTTTGGATCAAAGGCGTGATTCCTTGCCGCATGCGGAAAGGAATCGGGCCTTCAGATTGAGTAGTTGCTAGTCACCTGGTCCTGCTCCACAGGAAGCAAAGGAGTTTGATAAAGTTTCCCCATGGGCTAGCGTTAAATCAAAGATAGCTTTGTGTGCCTCAGTCTGAGATTTTGCTTAGAAATTCTGCAGTGGTTGACTGGGCATGCATAATGGCTGATTAAATGGGCACAATGGTTTGAAGTGCAAATTTGATCATGCTGGAAACCTGAGATGGAGGATTGAGGTTCTGTGTTTGAAGAGGGCAAATCTTTGTTGCGTCAAATGGAGGCAATACATGTGAGATGGCTATATTGTTAAACTCGTTTATGTCGTTCCTCTCTTTTCACATTTTACTGTTGTTATGCTCGTTTTTTATTATTGCTCACTGAAAGGTTAGTTTGCACATTTTGATCAAATCTGTTGCAAAATGACATCCAGTGTTTTTTTTCCGCCAGTTTTTCTTCTTCCATCATCCATCATTTTTCTTTTATTGAAATGCATCGCGTCTCTTCTGTCTGCGCTCAAAGTCAGCCTGTCATTAACTTTATCATCTCAGCAGCATATGTTTTGGTGTAGAGCTTCAAAAATTTCCCTTCTGAAGTTGATGACTGAAAGTGCTCGTGACATTGCGCGTCATTCATCACCATTAAAGTGTGAGCCATCGCCCATTATAACACGTGCAATGTAAAGCTCTAATTATTTTAAGAAACCAGTGGTCTCAAAGAGTGGCAGGCAGTTTAAATAATTAGAGTTGATTACACTTTACTGGCAAGAACATTAAAGAGAGGGTAGAAAGGAAAATGTCTTGTGTTCATGTGCTATCAATTTTTATCTAAAAACATTGGCTACAGTCTGACATTTGAGACAAGTCATTTTCTTAATGGCAGTATTCATCATAGAAAGCTCGTCTCCGGGGGAGGGGGGGCTGAGTAAGTATTTTACCTTTTCAAAATACCATCAGAATTCAAGTCCGTGTGTTTGTTCCTGAATCTGGCCTCTACCTTGGCCCAATGCGCCGCATTCATTTATGAGTCACTAAAAGCTGAGCTCTAACCACAGAGGTGCCTGTAAACATGGCCTTCACCTCCTTAGTGCTCGATTCCAGTCATATTTGATGGTGAATACGCCAAGAGTGAAACCATATCAACAGTCATTTCTTCAATATGCTCTCTGTCTAGCTTTGATTGCACCTGGCCTCCACCATTTTAACTGTGCGAACACACACACACACACACACACACACGCACACTTATACAAACGCCGTGGTACGCCCCTTTGGCATACCTCCTCTGGAGTTTCTTTTGGAAACTCCTCAAGAAGCTGCTGCTGATTGGCTCTAGCACAACACCCCACTGAGACTTAAACTCACTATTGTATCAATTAGTTTCGCAGGGAAAACAAACACTTTATCTCTTTATCTGCTTTGCCATACATTTTTTCAAAAAAATGTTACAAAACTCAAAATCACCTAAGAACATAATTTAATGGTATTATTGAAAAATCTACCCCCTGTTTGTTCAAATAAGCTACACACACACACACTCACTATCATTATCTAGGGTTTGAACCAGAGCAAAGGAAAACCTGGCCAGTGTTCCATCTCTGTAGATCTTGGTCCTTTTTCCGTCAGGAGCATTGCACTTTTGACTTTCACTATTTAATGAAGCAGCTAAGAGAAATGACCCATCCAAAGGTTTCCATCAACTGAATATGCATGCTGAAGCTCCGACAAGGGGCCGTTCAGCCCCACTTATTCATAAATGAACTCAATATTTCATTCTAATTCGCTCCGTTCTATAGAGTGTTCGACACAGACAAGTACCGAGCCCTCAGCACATTCACAGAGAGCGCCATCTGCAAATGTTAACCTCTGCGAGAAAGAGCTCCACCTTTCAAAGATGGACCCAAAAGTGGTCGTAAGTGGACAGTGCACAGCTTTCGATGGTCGACTGGAGACCGCGGACTGAATAAGAGCAGTTGTTTTGTGAAGTGACGCATTTGCATTTTTGGCAAATAAAAATGACCTTTGCTGAACTTTATTTTTCAAAAGAGACGACTGAGACTGTGAGTCATCTGAGTTCAAGTCTGTTGGCATTATGCTCATGATTATCCATTTTTATAATCATCTCCTTTTAATAATATCAACGTACAGCTTTTATTACATTTTCTTGGCTAATTCTTTCATGCTAAGCCCCTAATTGTATTATAACTGTTTATTGGTGGCATTTTATTGAAAAGAAAGCGGGGGAAAGAGGGGAAAAACTGTTAAATAGCTTGCATTGATTTTACACTTAAGATAATCCAGAGCAACTGATAGAATCCCTGGAAAACAAAACTGATTGATTAAAGTGTTTGTCTTATTGGTCTTGTAGCTGTATGAATAGCCACGTGATAATGAGCCATCCTTACGTTTCCTAATGGATTGCACCATTGTTTTGTCCTCGATATGAGTGGTATGCGCCATATCATGCTTTTTACACATAACATGGCATTGGAAAAAAAAATGTAATTAAAATAAAAGCAACAATAACCAATAACACTTTGGCTTTTTAAATATTTGCAAGCCTACAGTGATACTCTCTAAATATGTGCTCTCTCTCTCATCATGCAGAAATGATTTGCTATCATCCCCTATATTTGACAGTGATAAGTTTGCTATGGGTAAATACACATCATATATTTGCACACACATATAAACACGCAGACACACACTTACTTAGTTGCTCACTTGCTGTCTCATGTAACATTAGTGCCGTGACATCTACCAGCCATGAAGAGTTAGGAATCCATGTCTGTGGGGAGTGCACCGGCGCTCCGAGTGGCAAATGGATATTAAAAGAAATGTTTGAAAGAATTCAGATTTTATTTATTTATCTATTTATTTTTAGTTTCTACAACTAGGAGATTACAGTCCAATTTTCTACAGCAACAATGCTGCATGGAAATAAAAAATAATCTCTCTTGAATAATGTCAAATGCATTCAGAGACAATTATTGGAATAAAGTGAGAAGAGTTGAGTTAAATTTTTATATAATTTTAACTCAGATTAATAGTCAGGTATAATGACGCTGTATTTTCTAAGCTTCTTTTTCAAACACTAAATGCACATGAAAAAAATATCAGAAAGATTGTTTTATTTGGTGTCGTCTTTATATCCTAAGAAGCCACCTTTCCTGGAATGTATTCATATACAGGATATAGAAACTCGGTTTGCATGGCTGAGAATGTGGGTCACTTCATATCCTTGGGTTTTTCAATCCCACTCAAGCACTTTTCACTGAAGTGGGAGGAATTTGTTTAAATATCTTTAAGAAATTAAAATAGATATTTGGACTAACTATGCATTTTTTTTCTGTTAATGTCAGGTTTTCTTTACAAAATAAAAAAAAAATGAATGTAATTTTATAAGCCATTAAGCTTTGAGATTAATTAAATTTAACACCTCAAAAATGAACAAGCAGTCGTTTTTGCTCCACTGCTTTCCTGCCAATATATGCCAACATATATTATTAAAAAATATACAGAAAATATTCCCATTTCAATAAATGAACAAATTTGTAAACAAAGCTGAAGTTTTCTTCAGAGCTGACTAGACACTGTTCTTATTGGGGCACTTGCTACAACTTTACAGTAATGCATTTTTTATGTTTAATATGGAATTGTTATAGTAAAGTTTAACTGCTGCTGTGATGTAAATAGTTAAATTTATTTAGGACCATTACATCAATATATAGCTACTGAGTAAAAAATGAAAACAACCATGGAGAGTGTGTTTTTTTTTTCCACCTTAATGTTGAAGTGCAGGCTTCAAAATCAATATTGTACCCCTCATAAAACATGAATGACTGCCTGAAACAGAAACGGCATGGCCCAGTTGAGTTGTATTCCTAATAGGGTGTGAAAAAGCTCGCACTTACTTGTTAGGTACTGCAGCTACAGAACTGCAGTACCTCGTGACAGCTCTCCTGGCTGTATAAACTATTACACATAGGGTTTATTGTTAAGTAGGAGGGGCTTAATGCCTGCTGACCCCTGCTTAGGAAAAAGCAGCTTCCACTGTGATGCCTGTCACTGCTGGTTAAAGGAGCATCTTTTGCTCCGACCTCAACCTTCTGTCCAGAGTAGTTTTCATGGAAAAGTGTTTTGCTTTGATGCTTTCATGGAGGATGGACACTGTGAATGTTCCATTCCCCTGTATGTCTTTTCAGACATCTCTTATCAAGGACTGTTTACTAGCGGATGTAGCAGAAAAGAATTTCAATTTGTCCAAGTCACAGGTCCACATTGCAGTCATACACATTTTACAGTTGAATGTAGCTCACAAATTTATTGTGTGAACAGTGCCAGCAAAAGGTTAATTAAATCAGTAGAGGAGTCACTGCAAAGTGTGCTGTAGCACAGCAAGCACCAAAGGCTTTTTGGGTGGGAGTATGAAAGCGTATCAGACATCCTCTAACATGCTTCCCTGTGTGCATGTATTCATGTTCTCTCGCTCTGCACCTCTTCCTCTCCTGTCTCGTGCACGCGCGTGCACGCACGCACACTCGACCGTCCCACTTTGTTTCTCGCACTTTATCTCTAAGATTAGAAAAACCGAGCAAGAGTGCAGACATTTGCACACGCGCGCACACAAACCTGCATGCACGCAGGGCGTCACGCTGACGAAGGTGACACGCCATCTGTCAAACTCCTGTCTCAGATATGCGCCTTGTATTGTGACAGCAGAATCAGCCTATTGATCG